TGAACTCTACGACCTTCAATCCCTTAAATCAATTTCCATTCGCCACAAAAAATGTTGAGTCGAATTAGATTACAATAAATAAAATGATAACATGCATACATTAAAAAAAACTTTTCAAAATTTTTTGACTTTAGAAATATGTATATGGAACAGAACACTTGAAACGATTATACTTATTCTCAAAATATTGGAATTAAAAATTATTTCTTGCGTTATAATCACATTTGTTAAAACACACGTCTCGGTTGCAAATATTTATCTTGAATTGTATGTATTGGTGACTAAATAAATAGTTTGAACATATTATTTCCCTTTCTATAATTCGATTTGTCCATCTTTTACAGAAAAGTGACGATATTTTAAATTTAATGATTTTTATTTGGAGCCACAAAATAGTGAATATATATTTCTTTGACCTGGTGAGAAAATGTCAAAATGACATGCTCTAGACGAAAGGCGGTGGTCACATTGAGCCATTACTTTCTAACGTAGATGGAATTGTTGTTGTTTATTAAAATTATTTTAATCTATCAATGTAAAAATCGAAATTTGGATTTTTTTGCATTTTGTTGAAAGTTGTTGAGTCATAGAAAATACAAATAAAATTAAAGTAATTATAAATGTAGATTTATCTGAATTTATTGATCAACAGAAACCAGAAAGATACATTGGTTAGAATATTTGTGACCTTAAAAAATTTCTTAAAATAAAAGAGCAATGTATATATACAATATGATCAAATCAGGTAACTCTGATAAGCGTCTGTATTTGCAAAATGTCCATATTTGCAATAAATTAATTGTAATGTATTCTGTTTCTCAATGCCTATATACGAAGATTGGTGTTTTTGTATTCAATACCAGGTACTTGAACAAAGAATAATTCAAAATAGGAATGCGTTAGTTGATCAAAAACATTTTTTGTCTTATAAATATTTATTATCTTTGTAAAGAACAATTGTTTCGACGCTCAATGCGTCATCATCAGCTGTAGAATTTTAACTAAAAATGCTTTTGATGACGCATTGAGCGTCGAAACAATTGTTCTATAAAAAGATAATAAATATTTATAAGACAAAAAAGTGTTTTTAATCAACTAACGCATTCCTATTCGTTCATGTCTTACAGTCCTCAAAAAGTAAAATTATTTCATTTAAAGAATAATTCCTCTTAAAATTAAATATGCATTTTTCAAGAATTTTAATGAATTTTATTTGGAGCCACAAAATAGTGAATTCATATTTCTTTGATCTGATGGAATTGTCAAATCGATAAGCTCCAGACGAAAGGCGGTAGTCACATTCTAACGTAAATAGAATTGTTCTCTCTCAAAATTATTTTTATCTATCAATGTTAAAATTGAAATTTAGATTTAATTCAACTTTTAACTAAATGTTGTTGAGCCATAGAAAAAAATTCAAGTAAATACTAGAGTAAATTAAATATTGAAATTATAACAAACTTCTTGTTGTAAGAATTTACGTTATTTTTTTATCCAGAAATTGTGCCGAAAAAGTTATTTAACATTGAACACGAATTTTTATTTCTCTTTTTATTTTACGATAGAAAAAACTCGTATAATTCGCAGCAAAATTTATGGTACGCGAAGGTATCACATATAAACAATATGCTCTAATCAAACCACTGATAAACTCTGATAAGCGTAAACACGCGCAAATAACGCACTGTCTGTATTTGCAAAAAAAAAAAAAACAAACAAATTGTGTATCCAATTCTATTTAATTTTTATATTTAGTCATATGTGAAATTTGTATATATAACAGTATTGTTGGAGTATATTTTTTTCATTTTACGGTTAACTGTGGATATTTTGAATTCAAATATTTCAAATTAAGTAAAACTAAAAGAAATTATATTTATTTAATTTCGAAGAATTTTTTTAGGAGCCACGAAGAAGCATCGATATTATTAACCAGGTGGCATATGAAGACTTATTTTTGAATATAAAATCATGAATATATCAGCGTCATTTCTTACCATAGACTTCGTTGGCAATCGATTTCTTCTATTGTATATATGAATTCAGTGTTTAAATTGTTCAGACAATATATTTAGAGAAAAAAAAAATATTATGAAAGAATAAAAAGCAAATATTTTGTTGTCAATTTTTATTTAGTTTTATTTTTACTGTGAATTTATACGAATTCACATCTTAATATATTTCCAAAAAATTAGCTGATAAAGTCATCACATTGTGATGGAATACAATTGATTATAAATGATTCTTTTTTAAAGATTTTATAAAAAAATATTCGTGTACGTCTTTCAAGAGTACAATTGTTATAACTGGATCAGTTTAAAATATGTTTGTCAACGACTAGCCAGATAAATATCTATTTATCGAAAAATTTATGGGTACGTTTTTGTTTCGAAATGTTCGGTGTAATATAGTCAATAAGCGGTCCACGCTTGGCCAATGGCAACATCTCAAATGAAGCCATTTCGTTGAGCAATAGTTTTCGTTTAGACGAAAAAGTTGGAGTTTCCAGAAGACTGTGATGAAGATGGTTGCGTTGAGCATTTGCTGTTTCTTCTTCGATGATCTGTTTTCCTTTTTCCAAGAAAAAATCAACCCGTTCCAATGTATTATTGAAACTATTTTCATCTTCAGTATTGTTCACATCGGTTGAAATCAGCTTGTCACGTTGTGAAATTTTGATTGGAGTTTCAGTGTTTGCCTCTTCATCAGACACAGCGCATTCGTTGATTGGATCCAAGTTGATGTCGGGAAAGAATGTATGATTTGTCCGTTTAAATGCAAACGTTCTACGTTTTTGACGTTCGTCATTGGATGGTTGCAAATCCATTGCACGTACTTCCATCGATTCACTTTTGTTCAATGTACTTGTGATTTTCGGTTCATCATTCACAGATTCATTGATCGTGGACGCTGTTTTATGCAGTGATGATTTTGAAACAGATTCGCTGCTGTTTTGGCTGGACGATTCAAATTGTGAAGACGTCTCTTCGATGATTGTCGATGGTCGAATGAGACCGATGTACTTGACGGGCGATATTTCAATTGTTTCATCATCAATTTCATTTGCGTTGTCATTGATGTTCGCATTCTCATCTTGCGTCTTATCTAAATTGTCGTCTTCAGCGTCGGTAGTATCAGCAGTTTGATTGACTGTTTGATTCCATAGATCAGAAGGTGGTTCAATGTCAAACAAAATTGTTTCATTTTCATTAATATTCAAAAGTCCTTCCTTTTTATCGTTCACATCGCACTGCTGCTCTAACACCAAAAAACTATCATCCGGCAATAGTGTCTTATTCTCCTTACCAAAAATCATGCTGTTTTCACATTCCACGACGGTAGCTCTTTGGACCGGTATTGTTTCAATGTCACACAACCTTTTTTGTTCCGAACCACTTGATTCAATGGATAAATCACATTTCGATTTCGACATATTGCTGAGCTTCGATGCTTCTAATTGTTCTTCGCGTTTTTTCTGCAGAATTTGTGAAAAGATATGATCCAATTGAATGGTTGGCGTACTTGGTGACATCTTTAAAACAAGAAAATAGTAATTTTCAATACACAACAATATTACAACAACAAAATATACGTACAGATTGTAATGAAACATTTGATGTAAGAAGTCTTTTTATTGCTTCTTGTGTTTCTTTATTGATTGTTTTTCGAGCATTCGAAATCATATTGATATTGTCCGAAAATTTCCAGAATTCCAAACTAAATCACAGTTTACTTTTCGAAGCGAAATGTATTCCATGTGTATTGTACACAATTGTTTATATAGAAATTATCGTTGAAACTAAACGTCAAAATTCAAAAGAAGCACGAATGACAGACGAAATCTACGGAAAAAAATGGCTGCATACTTGTCTTTACACAATGTGTCAAAACAACTACAGCCAGATGTATGTGTGAAGAATTGATGTTTGAGATTTGAAACGATTTTCAAAATAAAATTAATGTTTTCATTTTAAATGCTTTTTTGAGATCAAATTCTTGTTTTAAACAAATCACAACGCAAAAGTGTATTTTTACCTGTATATCCGATTGATTAGTATGATTGAGTTTCAAAAATGTTTGAAATCAAACGAAATCCAAGTACAAAGTAATAAAACATTTATTTAAATTTTTTTTGTCTCTCCTTATTTTATTTAGAATGCAATTAAATTATGTTCGCACAGAGTGAAAGTGTATCAGAGAAAGTGAACCTTGGTTTTCATGTTTCACTTTTTTCATCTAAATCATAATCTTCGTCGTCACTTGACTGGCGATGGGCTAATGCACAGTCTTTAATTGCATTTTCACTGGTGTATTCAAGCGACTCATAGAATTGTTGGCACTCTTTGTTTTTGGGAAGATATTGCATTAGCGCCATTAAGTCGTTGTATTTTTCCTGAGAAATTGTACGCCTTTCATCGTACAAACATTTTAAATCGTTTTTGGGAAATGTGTCCGATTTGTTTCTTTTTTGCAGTAGAATGGAAATCGGTTGTGATTTTTTGGTGTGGTACTTTTTAACGACCAATCGAAATGGGTCGGTCGCATAATCATAGGTGATACTTTGAAATTTAGACCATGATATTTTTTTACCATTACTCGATACTTTGCTGTTTGCCAAAAGTTTTTCCAGTTGTTCAGAGCTGAAGAAGTCTTCTCGTTTCATCTGTACTACGACATAGCTGGGTTCGATTTTTTTCGCTTTCGAAATGACATCACACCACTGATCTGGAACAAGTATAGTTTTCGTTTTTTTCTTTGCTTTTTCAATGTTGTCAAAGCAACGGTCACAACTATTGTAGCTGTGTCCATTTATAAAAAATCGCTGTTCTATAGATCGTACGCCGGACGGTTTTAAGAAATTTTCGAATAAATGTTTTATCATTAATGAGATTTTGATGTTGCGCGTTTGTCCAAAATGCGAATTACTATAGAGTATCACGTCTTTTGTGTTCGCTGGTAAATTGTTGCGCAGATGTTTTCGCAAACATGATCCAATTTCTTGTGAGCCATTCAAAGCAATTGATTCATTCCAAACGTACATGTAGCCCTTGTTTCTCACTTCGTCAAATATACATACGTTGAAGCACCACAATGGTCGATAGCTCAATACTTCAGTTCTAGGTGAAATTGGTATCTCTTGAGCTCTTTGCAATGCAAACGTAAAAACTTCGATGCCACTCTCATTTTCACTCGCTTTATTCACCGAATCGACAAAACATTCTTTCAATTTTTCCACGGTTTTCATGTGTGATTTCTTTTTGCGGTGCAGCTCTTTTTTACTTTCGTCGCTCAACTGTTTATGTGTACCGGGCTTTGTACATAAATCGCATTCTTTTACGCGTCGTACAAAGCAAAGATTAAAATTTTCTTTGAAAATCTTTATGAAATTGCCATTCTTTAATGCAACCTCGTTTTTGGATTTACAAAAATCACAATACAGATTGTATAACTTTTTACAATTTAGCTGTGGGTGCAAATACTTTTTGTTACGATGTGATTCGAAGGTGGGAAATTTGGCAATGAATTGTTTCACCAAATTAATTGCGTCATCGCCAGTTTTTTTTTTTGGAAACGATCCTCTACGTTCAACGGCTTCAGGGTTTAGTTCCAATGATTTCAACGCCCGAAATAACCTACCGCGGCTTACTTTTAATAATTTTTCAATAAAGAGCGAGCATACACGTTGCTTGGCACCAGCGCCATCGACCAAATGGTATTTTGAAATGAAAGTTTTCTTCGATTTCATTATGGATCCGATATTTTCCTTGACCGGCTGCTTTTCACCCAATGATCGGAGAAATAAGGTTCGCTGAGACCATTTTTGTAAACCGTAGAAATCATCGAAATACTCCTTTTGTCGGACGACATCAATTTTTTGGGCACAATTGTGCTTGCAATGACAGGAATTTTGTGCAATGAACTCCACGTCCTTATTTTTGCCCTGTGTGGTAGTTTGAATCAGATTTTCTTCTGTTTGTTCGTGTGTATCAACTATTTGCGATTCAATTTCAATTCCATGTTCGGTTTTAATTATGGTATCTCTAGTTTCTTGATATTCCATATCTGTGAATGGGTAAATTTTATAGTAGTTTTGTGCTAGGAATAGTAATTTTAATATTTACCTGAGAATTCGCCTAATTTACTTGTTTCAATATTTCTTTCATCAACTACAGGTGATGGCATTAGTTCGTGCTGTGTCTCATTCATGAATGATGGCTCTTCAACTTCGGTAAATGGTTCGGATTTTTCGGATAAAAATACGTTTTGTGAACTTTTCACAAATTCATAAAATTGATGGAAGCTTCGCACTTGGTTCCAACAATCTGAACATACCCGCCTTGGCATTGTGTCATATTCACATACCTGTAATTCAATACAAACATGTTATGGTTCATAGTTCTTTTGGTTTTGTTGAAAATATTTACTCAAGTACTTGCCTCACATTGCATATGTTGTTTTATTAATTCAGCGATCTGCATTGATTGCCCATTCTCATCGAAAATGTTTATGTTTCCTTCGTCGAAACACAATCGACACAAATTTATAGTGTTTGATTCCATTTCAGAATTACTTTTATATTCATTACAACACAGAAATATATAAATATTTTGCCATTGACGTTTGGACTGTCATTCTTTTAGTGTCAAGTTTAACAATAATATTCTGCATTATCGATGCGAATGAGCGTAGTTTTTGAAAAAGAACGTAGGAAAGTTTGAATTTTTCAATCATTTTGTGGTGTAAAAAAATCCGCTGAGTGGTGACAGTTTATTTATTTAGTCTCATTATGATTACTATGTTGAACTGCATTACGTTTGCAACGTCACTTGAATCATGAGCACAGTATTCGTATAATTTGTACAGACTCTGTGAGGAAAAATTAATTGTAATTCAAATCAAATGTTTTAACGAAAAAAAATCCCGCAGTTTTTTTTGTTTATATAAAAAAACATAAATTTTAAAATGTTCCGAGCAGATTTGAACTGTATTAATTGAATATGACAGGCTTTCAATTTTTTTCTTTGATTTATTTTACACGGATAAGAGATTATTTTGGTCGTCAGATGATTTCCCAACATCAGAATCGGAAGGATTTTCAAGTCCAACAAAATCTTTTTTACCTCGTACCGCATCTACAGCGTCACGGATCGCACTGCCATATTGTCCATTTCCTGCATGCTCTAACACAGCCAATAAAAAAACGCCTGGTCTTCCGTTATGATCACAAATATCAAATGTTTTTGCATCTTGCAAAAATACCACATTTAAGCAGCACAACACAATTACTATTATTAGTAGGCGACGCATGTCATAGGACATAATCTTATTTAAGTTCTTCAAATTAATCTAAATTCACGTTGAACCAGACTGAATCGATAAATGCCGGAAATTCACATTATGAAATAGAACTAATCTTATTTTCAATACGACCAACTATCAAAATGCGATTATTTTGTAAAACTTTATGAAATTATATATACGAATCATCGATGGTTTTTGTGTTCATTTATTTATTGATGCGTGAAGTTCCTTGTTTTTGAATATATGATAAATATCGGCTGAATTATATATTTGTTGTTTTCTTAAATGGAAATAGTCATCGGAAAAGTAAACATTTGCTTGTAGGGAATGAATTAAAGTATTCATTCCAAAGTACTCTTGGTACTTACAAATCTGCTTACTGGTGAATCTGTTAAATCCAAATATTATCATTACACAATAAAAAAAACCAAATATATTTCGCTGACATTTGCCAAAAAATATTCAACAAATTTCATTCAATATCATATATTTGACAAAATAATGTTCTGATTATTTTCAATTTCAGTTTAAAAGCACATAATTTTAACTTAAATGTATAAACAAGCTGAAAAAACAAATGAAAAAAATTGAGTGAATGTTTGATATCAATATGAAACAGTTAAAAAAAATTAAAAATGATGCTGTTAACTTACTTAACGAACGTGTATCGTATTTTTGTTTATACGTTGCTCAGCAATTTTATGCAGTAGATGATTTCGAATCAGCAGAATTAGAAGGATTATCCACTCCAGCCCAATCTTGATTGCCTCGAAGCACATTGTAAGCGTCTCGAAGTGTGCTTCCAGCCTCGCCTTTCCATTAAATGTATGATCAATAAGGTCAAGAGCTGAGACACCTGGTTTCCCGTTGTGAACATCGGCTCTGAATTACCGCTTTAAGGTTCTTGAAGTTCTTTTTGAAAGTAATATTATTTGAATCGATGCAGAGTAGTTCGCTAACAGAAATCGATTAGGAATAGAGCAAGTGATGTTGGCCTTTTATATGCTACGAAACGGTTACTTCAAACTCACACACTGTATGAAGAAAGTGGCCTTACATTATTTTAAATTGTGTAATTGTGAGAGCAAGTTATTCTTAGCTTATCTTAACAGATTAAACAATGTATGCGTTGTATGAACTTGAAAAGAACAAAACCGTCATATACCTCACAAGAAACCATTATCAACCCAGCAAATTATTTTAGGATTCCTATTTTATAAATTGGTGCGCCTGAACGTCAAAAGCCAATCATTTTTTTCTCATTTTACAAAAACAAAACATATTTATTATTTAAAGGTTTCCTGATAAACTGTTCCCACATTATAGAAACCTTACAAATTAATATTTCAAAAAGAATCCTAAAATAATTTGTCAGGTTTATTTCTTAAGTGCCTTTTCATTCTAAAAGTTCATTGTCAAAAACTAAAAATTAAGAGCAAGATGATAACACATATGAGTCATGTATTTCTATGTTTGAGAGGAAAAAGGGGATTGGACAACTGAAAATATGATGTCAGAAAGTTTTAGAAAAGAGCCACATTTTGTAACAACAAAATTTTTGAATATTTGGTCGTATTGAAAATAAGTGATGTAATAATGTGAATTTTTTGAATTTATCTTTTCAGTCGGAAATATGATTACATACAATAAGCGAAAACAATAAGGTCTCATTCAAAGTTGATGTAGATGTCAAACTTCTTTTTATATCTCATTGTTATTGCACTAAAAATAGGACCAAGGGGGGTTGACGTATATGAGATTGGAGACTTTTTTTTGCGAATCTCGCTAATGAGCGCCATCTGATTTTAGTGTGAATTAGATGCAAAAA